GGATCAACCAGAGGGGGGGGATTTTAAATAAAAGGTTTGGGTATCAGGAAATAAATAAAAACCTGGACCTCCATGAATTCGGATAACTGAGACACGCGTTTCATCGGCGGTGACAAAGGGAATTACAATGCGGGAGGAGGGATTACCTTAAGGTGTTATCAAAGTGTCATGGGTATGTACTAAAAGTGAAAAATATTTATAAGGCTTCTCCAAACTGAGGGGCCACCGAATAATGTGGAGCTTCAACACGTGACCGTGGAGGTGTAAATGAAGGAACTCCCGAGATTGCATTTTTCTTCTTTTTTTTTTTTTTTTACAAATTAGGAGAAAGGTTTTATAAATATTTTCAGGTTTTTATATGTATATATTTAACACGGTCCTTTCATGTCACCTTAAGAGGAAATTAATTAATGAGTAGGAGGGAATGTTTGTAGATAAGGAATTATTTCGAACTATTTGTAATCCTAAGGAATCCCGAGCGCACCCCGTCATAGGACCTCCACCCTCATTAGAGCACCTTCTCGGCGCATTAAGCGCCCCCGCCGCTCGTTAGGCTCTACCTGGGCCAGGTGCCCGCCGCAATTGCTGCCGCCCTGTTGATTTCAATTACCGTTATTATCCGAGTGGAGTAAGCCCCGCGGGGCGGAAGCGCCGGGGCGCCGCGAGGCCGCGCAGCCCCGCGCCCTCCGGCGGCCGCCCGGCGACTCCCGCGCTGGGGGCCGCTACGAGCGGTCTCTTGCGCTGCGCCACCCCCCACCCCGCGCCACCCCGCCCGCAAGGGCACGGACTTCCCCCACCACCGCCCGCCGCCCCCTCAGTCGCGCGCGGGCCGCGGAGGTGCGCACTTACACGCAGGTGCGCTCCCCGTGCAGGTGCACCCCCGCACACAGGTGCAGCCCCCTGGCGGCGTGGCCACCTCCGGCGAGAGGGGTGTTCGAAAGCGGTGAAATCAATGCCTCTGTTTGCACTGTTGAGGTCGAACCCGAATTCCGCGAGGGGTGGTCTCCGCCCGTGTGGGACGCGCCTACGTGTCTCTCCCTCGGAAAAAAGCTCCGCACACTTCGGGGAAAGGGAAATTCCCGTAAGGGTGGCATCGATTACCGGGACTCGCACAATGGCGGGGTGTAATGTTTCGCCCGACGCGAGGCTCGAATTAAGGCGGGATTAAGGGGGGCCGAGGTGCGATCCAGGTGGGACGGGTCCCGGGGGAATTGATACGGGGGTGATGACGATACCGGAATCGCGGCAAATCAGCGTTAAATAAACGAGTGGCCGTTCTCGATACGACAAGAACGTCGCTTCTTAAGTTAACTCGTCACAATATCGATATAACATATTCGGAGTCAACTTCTCCTCCCCCCGATTTTGTCGCCTCAGTCGAGAGCGTGTCCCTGAAAAACACGTTCTTTTTAATCACCAAAAACAAAAAAAAATAGTTGCGCGGTTATATTTCTGCGAAACCCATTTTTCAATGAAAAGACAAAAAATGGCCAGTAAAAAAATGAATGAGAAATTTGGTCGGAATTTTCCTCCCCCTTTTGAAGTCCACCCTCCAGGTGGTGGCGCGGCCAAGCAGGAAAAGGCTACTTCGACCTACCCCTCCAATTTGTCAATCAGGAGGGCCCGGAAGTCGATACGGAGCCTCCACCTCCTCCTGGGGACGTCAAAGGTCCGGGGGATCAGCGAGGGTGCATCTCGGTTCCGGGGCATATCCGAGCGAGGAGGAAAGAAAGCCGGCGGTGCGGACGCGAATGATAACGCCTCTCGGTGAGAGCCGTTCGATCGATCCTCGGGGGTGCTTTTGTTCCTCTCTATCCCGCTATCCGATTTAACTACGGCCACTTGGCCGTGGAGGTGGCGCCAGGGTGGGGCGGGTGGAGGTTAGGTTAAGAAGTGGCTTTATCTTGGTTAAGCCAAAGTGCACCGCGACCGAGCGAAACAACCCCCCGTCCGGAAAGCGACCCCCCACGTATAGCGGCGTATAGTGGTGTACAACGTTGTACAACGGCGTATAGTGGTGTACATCGTTGTACAACGACGTATAGCGGCGTAGAAATTGTGAACGACGATGTATAACGCCGTATAACGATGCAAGATAACGTATAACAATGTATAGCGACGCAAAGCGACAAAAGTACAACGAAGTATAACGCCGTTTAGCGGTGCATAACAACGTATAAAAACGTGTAACAACGTATAATAACGCAAAGCAATGGAAATATAACGGCGCATGACAACGTATAACAACGCAAAACAACAAAGGCAATGAAGTATAACGTCATATGACGCGGTATAACGGCATATAGAGACGTATAACGCCATATGACGAGCTATAACGGCGTATAACACCTTTTAACGACGTATAACGATGTATAATGATAAACAGCCCCTCTCTTCCCCTGATCTAGCGCGACAGCTATTGAGCCATTACACGCTTAAGTGGACGCCTCATCGCAGTGGCGTGCCTAATGGCATCGGGGAGGTCCTCGACAGGGGTTGGAATTTTTAGCAGCCTATAGCAACTTCGCGTATTCCACGAACATAAAGAAGATTTCCTACAAGATGATGTACGTTAACTAAAACTAAAATTCCTGAATTCTCTCTACCGGGGGCGACCCCAAACTGCCGTCGTATTCGGGATTAGTAAAGGGTTAGGTAGGACAACCGCGACTAATCTCGGTGTCCCCTCGAAGTACTGTTTACACCGTCGGATTTAAGAGCCCGATGATAACCTAATAAAATCCCTTCCGTCAATCGCTCCTCCCTTATACTCCTTTCCTTTTTAAATACCCATTCCCGTCATATCGGAGTTACGAGAGGGATTATCGAGATATTTCTTCACAAAGAGGTTAGGAAAAAGTGCACATCTTTCTACAGTTAGTTAAATTTTCTATAGTTAATTAAATAAGTTATGTTATCGCAAGCGTTCGTTGTTTCCTCTCCATGTAGGGTCGGGGGAGAAATAAAGAATGAAAATTCTGTACAGAATTGGAGGTTAGGCTCGGACGCGCTACGCCACTGGTGCTCGGAGGGGCGCCACTGCTCGCGGCCCGGGGGTTGGTTATTTCACGGTCCACTCGCTCCACTCACACCCCCTCGTCCCAAATCCACCCCTAAGAATTAATTCGAGAGAATCGGAGCACCCCGACCCCGCTTCCTCGGCCGGGACGACACCGCCGATCCAACTTCCCCGGACCCCGCGCCGATAACGACAAAGTCCTGTCCGAGGGGTTCCTAGGGGGGATAGGGGGGCAAGTTATCGCCCGGCAGATAGGACCTTCCGGCCTTTTCTTACCTTTCGCTCTTAAAGCCGGCCCCTCCCTCGAAATAGGACGGAAAGAGCAATGACACCGCGCGCAACCGGAAAGCGAAGTGGCTTTTTAATCCTTCTTTTCGTGCTAATTATCCTTCCTCGGAATCCTGCGACATAACCTCTAAGATACGTACCTTGGGGGGTTGGCTATCACGTGGACTCGCTGATTGGTTCGCCAGGTGTGCTCCGCGCAGGTGAAGTCGACGTTGCCGTTTGTCGCCCCAACTTTGCGATTCTTTTTTTTTTTTTTTTTCTGTTCTTAGTTTTCGTCGCAAAGATACCGAGACTCCAAAGGGATTCCGATATAACGTTCCCAGGATTTTCTTGCGATCTCGATGCGACGTTGCCGTGACTTCGTCGCAGCGTTGCCATGGTTTTTTCGTCACGATTTGGTGACTTCTTTTTCGTTTGCACAACTTGGCCGCAACATTGTTGCGACTTTGTCATAACATCGCGCTAGAGAATTGCGGCAACGTCGCAACATTGGCGCCCATGGCAATATTGCGACGTTGCCAAAACATCGGGGGGATAAAGTTGCGACTTTACCGCACATAGGCCCGATTTAATTGCGCCGTTGCCACAACCTCGCCGTGACAATATTGCGACGTTGCCATAAAATCGCGACATGACTGCGCCGTAACTTCGGCCGACCTGAGCGCAGCTTCTGCTCCTTGGATTCATTAAGCCGCAGCGAAAGGTCGAGCGTAAAATCGCCGTCGCCGAAGCGCGCGCGCGTCTAATTCGGTCATCAAAGGCGAGCGGGAGCGATTTTCCCGTCGATTCGGCGTCGCCGGTTGGCGAACCGGAGACAGAGGCTCGCTGTGCGCTCCGAGCGACGCGTGGCGCCGCGCGAGCCCGCGTGACGACGGTCCTAACCTCAAAGGACGTCCGCTAATGGTGTGTTCCCCGATGAGAAATCATCCTCCCGTCCCCGAGTCGACCGGAAACGGGTACGATGGAAAAGTCTCGCGATAAATGAAAATAAAGAAGAGCCCATTTCGCCGCGAAATAACATATCCGTGAGTTACAAGCGTAACGTATGGCGTTTATTTTACAGAGGAACGTGTAGCGTCGCACGAGGTCTCACACTCTTTTCTCATTCATCTCACCCGCGTGCGTACATGCCCACGCATTCGCGCCGAAAAGCGCTCCTTTAATTAGGTATCTCTATACATTCGTTGCACGCACACCCTAATCTTAGCCTACCCGCCGGAAGCATCGAGAAGGATCCGCTCCCGCAGGAAGTATTATCTTACAGAGGAGTGGCATTTTCATAAAGGAGAACCGAACGGAGGCAACGTGCCGGCGAGACCATTCGATGAAATCGACGCACTATGAACCGGAATGCAACGTTCATGTCCACTGGTAGATATTACCACAGGACATAACTTCGGACATAACATCAGGATCCAGCACGTGCGGTTGCCCATATCTGCCGCTTGCCTCAAGTCTCCTGGCAAGAGATGCGGAACATTCCCTCAATGTCCAGAACTCACCACACTGTCCCGCTCGGTCCCTTGGGCTTACCTGCGCCTCGGCCTCACCTCCGCTCCAGCCGCCTACCGAACGGCGATTGACCGAAGAGCTTGGCCTTCCCACCATGCCGCCTCCCGGTCCCCCCCACCCGACCGCCGGGCCCATGCGGGTCCCCGCGAGGCGCGCGCTGATTGGCTCTACCCCCACTCCGCTACGCATGCGGGTGCGCGTGAGAGTGCGAGTGCGAGTGAGACAGCGCTAGCGAGGTGGGAGTGGGGGTCGCGACCGAGGTAGGGGGAGCGGGCGCGGCGGGGGAGGCGGCGGCGAGGTGGTGGCCGAAGAAAGGGCCCGACGGGGGGTACGGACCCGGATGGTGGTAGTACCCCGGCGGCGGTGGAGGGGGCGGATGCGGAGGGTGGTGCACGTGCGCGTGCGCGTGCGGGTGCGCGTGCGGGTGCGGGTGGGGGTGCGGGTGGGCCGCGAAAAGAAACGCCGGCGCGTACGGCGACGGGTGAGGCGGCGTCGTCGGCACCGTCGGACTGTTCACGTCCAGACCTGGGTTCTGCTTCTTCCACTTGGTGCGACGGTTCTGAAACCAGATCTTCACCTGCGTCTCCGTCAGGCTCAGGCTCAGCGCCAGGTTCAGTCGCTCGCAGACGGACAGGTACCGCGTCGTCTTGAACTTGTTCTCCAGGGCGACCAGCTGCTCGTAGGTGAAGGCCGTGCGCGCGCGCCGAGGCTTGCCGCCCCCCTGCGGGCCTCCTGGGGGGCTCTTCCCCGAGCCTGCGACCTGGCACCCGGGCCCGTTGCTAGGGCTCTGCCCGCTGGACGATGACGACGGCGACCGCTTCTTGCACGTCGAGGAGGCCCCTGCGTCTCGCCCCTCCCCGTCCCCCTCGGGGCTGCGCATCGACGCGTCCTCGTCTTCCTCCTCCTCCTCCACTGCCATGTCGTCCTCTGGGTCCTCTGCCGCGTCCAGGGCTCCGTCCTCCTCCTGGCCGCTGCCGAACTCTCCCCGCGAGTCCACATCTGGAAGAGAGGTTAGGCGTCAGTCAATTCCTTCATCTTACGTACAGATATTGAAACTCCTACGCTTAAGGTGACAAAATAGCTGGGGAGTCTCGATTTCACACATTTCTCCGAGGTGGGGGTGCCGAATCGTTTGAAATTTCACATCGTTCATGGGGAGACCCTGGGGAAGGTCCCGACACCCATGAAATCCATTCTTCATTTGTTTATGAACAGTTTGCTGTTCTTTTATGCAAGTGGAAATTAGGGAATCCAGATTTCCTGATTTCATCTTAGAAAATATCTCTTTTCTGGCTATTGGCCGGGATAAATGTGTTTCCTTTTTTTCGAAAAATTAAATTTCCCAAGTTTCATGGGAACTTCATTGGGACCTCCATTGTCACGTGTTGGCGTTTCAAATTATTCGGTATACCCAGTTTAGAGATTATAAATATTTCGACGATGGATATATATGACACTTTGGGAAGTTTCTTAGTAGTGATCGGTCAAGGTGGATCTTTGAAGAATCGTCAACGACCGGTGGGGATGGATTTCAGCAAGGATTCTGGGAGCGCCGACCAGCGGCCAATCGGCCGCTCAATGAGAGGAGATTGGAGATTCAATCAGCGCGCAGATGTCCCGGGGACAGATATTCCCTGGCTCTGCCCGTGGGGGCCGGGTGTCAACGTGTGTACGTCCACGACCACGTCCCACCGTTTCCCCACGTCCACGCGGAAGCGGAAAGCGATGGGGTGGGTCCCACCCGGCCAAAGGGACCTCCACCTCCGCGTAGAAATCCACAAAAGCGAAGAACGCCCACACACGACTGTGCATGAACTGTGTGGAGGCCGAACGCCGATGATACCACCCACACCTACAAACATCCTTACCTAGAAACCTCCACACACAGCATACGAGGACATTAGACTGACAATCGTCCACACAAACTTAACACGTGGGCCAGGCCTCCTCAGTCTCTACGTGTGTGGAGACGCACAAGAAAATAACCACACGCGCACCCGAAGACAACCCTAGATCCCCACACACCTGAAATCCACATCTGCATGTACCTTCAGGAAACCCGGTTTCCCACAAATTTGAAGTAAAAAATCGGGACCTACACATGTCTAACGACGTTAATCCAAATTTCCACACATTAAGAGATATGGATACCAAGCTTCCACACTCTTGATGACGTACACCTAAATCTGTAGATACTTGAAGACGGACCTAAACCTCCAGAAATTCAAGGTCCAGAATCAGACGTGTACATGTCTTTAACCTCCACCCAGACCCTCCACACACCCGACGACATAAACCGAGATTTCCACACATCCGAAGACATAAACCGGGACTACACACACGGGAAGATCTAGTATAGGATCTCCCCACCTCCCACACGAAAGACGAGGGTGGAGGTTCATCCAAATCGGCGCGGCTCGTGCCCCCAGAGCCCGAAGGGAGGACGTGGAGGGTGACGGATCGAGAAGGTTTACGCCGTAATGGGATTTGTATCTCGTTAACGCGCGATCGTTCCGCCCCTCCCCGGAAGAGGCGCCACCGTCGGGATCCCGCGGGAAAAATGCCCCACGCTTATTAGTCCGGGGATATTGTTAAACGGTTAAGGGAGGGACTGCGTGGGCGGGGAATGGTTATTGAAACGGCTCGTTCGTCGGAGAGGGGCTTTCTTCTCCTGCTCCCTCCTTCTATTCCTACCAAGTCATGACATTTTTCAATTCTCAAGTACTTACTAGTAAATGAGGCGGTTTGAAAAATTAACTAAGTCATCTACTTCATTTCTACCGCGTTCGATTACTGGTTTGAGAAGTAAATCCGTAAAATTCCCGGGTTTATCGGCATTTTTCATCCCTTGCTTAGCAAATCAGGCGATTTAAAAAAAATTAATTATCTTTACCGCGTTCGATTACTGGTTTGGAAAGTCAGTCCGTAAAATTCCTGGACTGGCGATTCCGGAGTGTCTTAGGGGTGCAGGAACAACGTGACAGCATGGTCGAGGTTCGCGTGACAACGCGGGATTAATTGGCTGGTCTGGTGCCGGAGATGGCTAGCAATTAGGGATTTTTACCGAGGCGCAATTAGAGATCGCCATGGAGCGGTGACACAACCGTGTCCCAGGAGAAGAGGGACCCGTCCCGTCTCTCGGGTTACCGAAGACGCTGCGAGAAATCCAGGTCGCTCATCCGTCTTCTCCGGACTGCGGAGGTAATTGGCGATACGGAGGATAGGATACCGATATAACGGCAACGTTATCTCGGACGGAAATACAGCAGTGAAAGAAATTAAACCCGGTGATATGGTCTTTTGTTCAAATTGAAAATACCGCGATACAACAAAAAGGGTAAAGAAACTATGAAGATAATTTTCGATACGGAGGATAGAATACATTTCCTTCCCTATTTATTATTAACTATTTTACCCTATTTCCTAAATTAACAAGCCCCGCGATAATTCCTCCCAGCCAACGATAACCCTCTTCCTCCCTCTTGGAGATCAAGAAACCCGACAGAGTTCCGCACCAAGAACACACAAAATCCGAAACCGCTCCCGCAGTCTTAACATGGGAAATGAAATTCCCCAAAAAAAAGAAAAGATCAATTTCTTGAAAAAAAATCTTACTAAAATCTCAAAAGCATTATTCAGATCCTCTGGTGGACGTTTCACTCAGACAGTCGCAAACACCCAGGATCAGTCCCACCCTTGTGGACCACACCAAGTTAACCTCCACCAGTTCCCGTGACACGAAGGACGTCTCCTCCGATAATTAGCGATACTTCGAGACCTCGAAACGGATCCCAGCAGATCCGGGGGACGAGTGGGGGAGGAGGGTGCGGATCGCTGGGGGGTGGGCTGATCCCCGTGAAGCGACCAAGGAGAGGGAGCGAGAAACACTCACCTCCTCTCCACGAGTGCGAGGGAGACGCCGGGTCATTGTGATGCAGAAGAGCCAATTTTCTGGGCGGCTTGGCCTGATGCGACGCGACGCCGCGCGTCGATTATCATAACAACCGGCGATATTATTCCCATCCTCGAGGTGGAGGGGTCGCGGCAAACATAGAAACGCGGGTGATGGTCGCGATAGATGCGCTTGGTGCGCTTGGTGCGCTCCTCATGCGCTCCTGATGCGCTTTTAATATATAAGATGGATCGAGGGAGAAGAGGGGGGTGTCCATTTCGGTCGCGACGATCAATCCTCGGACTCGCAGGGACGTCGGCGTCGGGACGCCGCGAGCGTCGCTGGACGGGGGCGACTGCCCCCGGGGGCAGGGGGGCTGAACGGGCTGGTTAACGCAGATTAGCGGGGCAATTTGTCACGCTACGACAGTTTCCCTGGAGAGGCGCCTTTGTCGAGTCGAGGCGTCGCGACGCCCTGCAGGTTTGCGACGCCGAGAACGACCGAGACGTGCGGAGGGCATTAATTAGGGGTACACTTGCCGCACCTTGATGGGGAATTAAATTGTTTAAGGTGATATGAAAGGGTCACTCTATATATATCATATGTAAAAATGTTTATGACACTTTTCTCCGAGCTCGGTTCACCGAATCTTTTCAAACTTTACAAAGTTAATGCGGAGGCTTTAAGGGAGGTCCTGACACTCATGAAATTTCAATTATTAAAAAATTTGTTTATGGGTATTTTAAAAATGTCGCATGAGGAATTAAGTTGCTCGGTGTTTATTATTGCAATTTCGTTCGCCGCAGAGGGGTGGAGGAAATGGAGCCAAAGGGTGGAAATCGAAGACCTCGGATGCAGGAAAGGGTCGAAGTTCCGATTCGAGTTTAACGATCGATCATGCGACTTTGCGGCGCCATGAACGCAACGAACCGCGAGGCCGAATTATTGGGGAATGAACCAGGGACAATTTAAGTTGGCAAGTTTACGGAAACTTCCTCCTCCTTGATGTCTTCAAGTCAAGTCCAGTCCCGAGTCGATCCGTTTCTCCCGATTTATTAATCTCGAGAAATGGACGCCGCCGGATTAAGGCGGTACTCGTGTAATCATTAATCGTCGCGATAAACCAGGGCATAACGATCTGCACAGATTTAACTGATGTATATTGTTAAAAGTATTAAATTTCCCAATTTTACACATTTACATCGTCAGGTTGTTATTTAGGGAAAGTGCGTAGGAAATTAAGTACACTTGAGTTAAACTCAGATAATTTGTTTATCACGTCTCGGGACTTCTAATGTGGTTTTTATGAAATTATTATGTTTTTCTTAACACCGTGTCGACGCTGTAGAACTCGATTTGGTGGTGTCGCAAGTTACAATTTATCGTTATTGAAATTTTATTTTTCCGGAATTTGTTTACGCTAAAATTTCGGTAATAATTCAGGTAAAAAAAAGGAAGGTTCGTATTCGAAATTACGCACGGAGAATTTTCGAAATGTTGGCAGTGAGTTTAATGGAATGTGGTGAACGCAATCTTTGTCTGTGAATGCATATTTAATTTCAATGTCAATTTGTTTATACAGCCGTGGCAATTTCGGGCAATTGCGGGGATTTCGTGGCGATTGATGTCAAAATGTCCATAACAAGCAAAACTGGTATTCGCCGTTACAAATTGCATTTCCAGCTTTGTCACGTTGACAATAAATTCGATAACTCCACTTAAACAATTATCTGACAAATTTAAGGCAAAACCGACGTATAAATAAGAACTTTATAACCACTCTGTCAATTAAGCATTGCCTCGACCTAAAATTGCGTTCGTCTTGTTCCTCGCGGTGCGGTTCATTTTATTAAACTATTTTGTTAACCCGAGACTCATTAATTAATAATCCTCGGCACATAACTTGAGGCCACGCCCGATTACCGCTATCAAACATTTAATTCATCGTTAAACATTGCCCCGCCAGAATTATTTTAAACATCCTTCGCGACATTCTAATTGTTACGAACCGAAGATAGTGACTAGCGATCATTTTTATTGTTTAATGTCATTATAATAGGGGCCGCCTTTTATAAATATTGCAGTTATCGATACTATGTCATGGATATTAAATTAATTTCAGCGAACGATTAATTATTATCAACCCCCGGCACTTTAAACCCCTTTATGAAGGAAATTCGTTATTACTCAAATTTCGGTTTAATTTCGACTACCATATTGTTTTACATTATCATGGCTCATTTTTCCATGACATGTTGAATGTCTTGCAATATATTTCGAAGCGCGTAATCTTGTTATTCTGTTATCTAGAATCCTCACTAGAAAACGGCCGCACTTGCTGCCAAATTGCTCGCGATAAATTAAGTAAGTGACCGAAGGGGTTGCCACTTGGCACGTCAATTGACACGATCTTCTATGTCATCTACTAATTGCTTGTTAAATGTAGGTCGAAACGGCCAAATCATGACAAATTTATACACTAGTCAAGGGGCTCAATTTCGAACGCTTCCTTTGCCAAGAACTCGTGAAACCTCCCATATTCAAATATTCAAATTATCCAGGAAATATCGATTTGCCTATAATAATTAAGATTTCTACATTGACGTTAATTAAAAACGAAACCACTTCCCTTAAGTATTTCACGTAAACCCAAAGTAAAATACTTGACAAATGCCGCGCACAAAGACGGCGGTACTGTAACCTCACTTTTCCAAAGTGGTCAAAGCGCACTTATGAATAAAATATTTTGGCAATACTTAAGCGAAGTAATTTACGTGGAATCCAAGAAAAATACCTAATAAATGAACCGAAGTATGAAAAAGCTCGAAATACGCGTCACTGAGCAATTCTGCCCCTTAAGTGTGGACGATTTCAATACATGGCGGTGTATCTCCTTATACTCCTTAAGGCGATATGAAAGTGGAGTCAAATAGATTTTGTTTATGAAACTTTTCTCTGAACAGGGTCTACCGCATCTTTTAACCCTTTGCAACGTGAACATGGAAGCTGTAAGGAAGGTCCTGACACCTATGAAATTTAATTAGTTTAAAAATTTCATTATAGGTATTTCAGAAATTTCATATTAAAAATGAAATGGGTGTCGGGAGCTTCCTTAGAGCTTCCGTGTTCACGTTGTAAAGTTATAAACGTAGTACACTCAGTTCGTCGAAAAGTTTCATGAAGCTTTCGGATGCCACTTTCGTATCCCCTTAATGCCAAGATTTCGGTGAGTTCCAGGGATTTCAGCACAGGATTTCCAGAGGTAGAGTCGAGGATGAGGTACCTTCATGAACGGTGGTGCCAAGCCGTCGACTCCTGCGGTTCCTGCGATGCCTAACAGGGCCATGAAGGACGCGCCCCCCGGTGAACTTGTTGGGGTCCAGGATGTTCTCGACGGAGAAGGCAAGTCCCCTTTTGTTGGGTTGTCCATGAGGGGCGGTGGTGGTGATAGTGCCAGGGGTGGCAGTGGCAGCAGGCCTGGTGGGGCCGGCGGAGGTGCACCCGCCGACGGCGGTGGAGGCGGTGGCGGCGTGACTGGAGACGTATCCTCCATGTCCCGGGTTAGCAGGCTGGAGGCACGTAAAAGCGGCAGGATGAAGGCCCATGGCGGCAAAAGGGCGCAGAACTTCAGCGGGGGCGCATCGCCCTGCCGAGGAGGTCAGGTCGACAGGGCTAGACGGGTTGCTGAGGTAGGGGGACCGACACACGTCGACCTCCACCTCGACGTCCTCGTCTTCCCGGGGTCCAAATCGGGGTCGAGGGGAGTCTGCGGAGTCGCGGTTACGCGGGTCTTCGTCCTCCTCCTCGTCCTCCTCGTCCTCGTCCTCGTCCTCCTCGAATTCGAGGTCGTCGTCGCGGTCGGTCTTGGGGGGGCGAAGGCAGCCCGGCGCGACTGCCTCCGGGTCGGCGGCGGGGGCCGGTGAGGCAGGCGGAGGGGGCGCCTCGAACCGTAGGTACCCCTCGGGGTGGTCACTGGGGGGCATCCGCACCTGCAGCATGCCGCGGCGCGAGTCCCGGGGGTCCCGGGGGTCCTCTGCGTCCTCGGCGAGGGCCAGGGTGGCGCACTCGGGGCGGCCCTCTTGCATCCTCCACATGCCCCCCGGTCTAGCGGGCGCCCCCCCTCGGGGGCATCGCGGGGGGCCGCGCGCCCCCGGGCCCCCGGATGTAGTCCTGGGGGCACGGAGCCTCCGCCCCTTTCCTGGGTCTTCTCCTAGCGCTAGACTTCTTCCGCGAGGTCTTCTGCTTCAGGGAGTTCTTCCGAAAGAAATTCGACAAACCCCAGGGTCCTCCTGGATCTTCCTGGGGAAGAGCCGCCTTTTCAGGGCGTCTTCACGAACTCCTTCAACAACGACTTTCTGTCCTTCTTCAGGGTCTTCCACGTTCCAGTCCACCCCAGTACCTTCCAGTCTTCCCCGGGTCCTTCAGGAATTCCTTCCAAACCTCCCTCCTCCTCCAGGACCTCCTTCAGGTTCCTCCTCAAGGTCTCCAGGTTCTCCAACCCTCCGCGACGCCCCCCGCGACCGATCCAACCATCCGCGCGTCGCGACTCGCGCCCCCGACGTTCGGCGTCGCAGCGGTAGTCTCCGTCGAATATATCCGCGGCTAGGGTCGTCGCGGCCGGCGTCGCGGCGCCGTCGTCGTCGGCGTCGGGGGCTCCATGGGCACGCCGCGCGTCCGTGCGGCAGGGCGCGTCGCGTATTATTAGGCCGGGAGCGCGCCGCGGCGGTCGCGGCGCCGTGGCCGTCGCGACGCCGTTCCGCCCCTCGAGAAGGCGTGGCGTCCTCCCTGCGTTCCCGGAAAACCCGGGACAGCAGCCAATCAGCTGACACGCCGCCGACCCGCCCGCGCGTCCCGGTCGGGGGCGCCTCACCCACGCGCCCCCACCCTTCCCAGTGCCCCCAGCCCCCCAGCCCCCCAGCATCCCCCAGCGGGCTTTCGCCAGATACTTGGGTATGTACACATAGCTACCCCCCGCCCCATCGCCCCCCTCACCCCCGATCGGACTGGCTAAAGTGGTTTGTCTTTGATTTAGCCACCGCCGCACCGCCGCCGTCGATAGACCCGGAGACGCCGCGCGGCGGCGTCGGTGGGGGGAAGCCGCCCCCAGGGGGGGTTGGCGGGTGGCGCGGGGGGTAGTAATCGCGTTGCCGGTAATCGTAGTCGCTGCCTACCCCTGACCCACCACCCCCCTTGCCGTGCCCCTTCCCCTCATCCCACCCCCCCAACCACCCACCCCACCCCGACGACCAACACCGAGAACCACCCGCGCCAAGCTACTCCGCGCTCTACGGCTCTTAACTCGGCCGCGGATATTGTTTACCCGACCATTTAGGTAATTGCTGGCCTACCACCCCGCGAACAACCCCCTCCCCCCCACACTCCTCTGGACGTAGACTCGCGCAAGACGTCTATGGCCAGTTCTCGGATTTCTGATAATTTTCTCGAGAAATGGGATGTTCCGGTTGAGGAGTGGAGATCTTTCTTTGGAGCGACGACTGGGTCGCGGGGGTAAAGAAACTCGGTTGCGTTCCGCGCCAAGTGCGTTCGATGTATGTGGTGAGTTTTGGGATTTTTGGTAATTCTAGGGAGAAATGAGACGTTGCGGCAGGGGAGTTAAGGATTTTTCTTGAAGGTGTCGACTCGATGATGGGGGGAAAGAAACTCGGTCGCGATGTATTCATTTTTGGGGGATCACTCCCACCCCCTCCACCCGGAAGACAGGTGCACCCCTTAGGTGGTACGCACGTGCCTGGGCGACCTGAAATCAGGGGATTTGGCCCCACCCGCTGTCTCGGTCACCCCTGAGGTCCAGCCAGGTGAGGCTGGATCCACCTGCACCCCAGGAGGCCGCGGACAGGTGGAGGGGCACCCCTAATAGTCGCAGGGGTGCGCGCGTGGCCGTCGGGAGGGGTGAGATCGAGCAGTCCATCCGTGGCCAATTTGCGCCCGCTCTCCAGCCGACTCCGTTCGGATTGCGCCCCCTGCCTCCCCCACACCCCCCGGGGGGAACCACCCCATATACAGGGCGGCGCACCGCGCCCTCGACCAGAGCTTCCTGGAAACCTCCGAGAGCTGGAAATGCCTCTCGCCGCTGGTCCAACATCTGGCTTCCAGGAGTGTTGCGCTTCCACCCCCACGTAAACCTACCCCTAGAGGTAGAGATTACCCGATCACCCTTGGAAAGTCACTAACAGTCGGATTCAAAGGGGTTGGAAAAATCGATTGGTAATATTTTAGCCCTGGGGCGTTAATTTTTTGCGGATATTTATGAAGGAAAACGTAGAGCGATATGTATCGGTGGAAATGTACAGAGGGTCAGTTTTTCTCATTGAAGATGGTCATGACGCTCTTACTCGATAGATAGAATCGAAATTTTTACCCTGGAAATTTTCATAAATGTGCAACTGATGAAAGTATGAAAGCATTTGAGAAAAACCGCTTCAGGGATGGCGAGGAACTGGGAATTGAAAATTCCGAGGGGGTGCGCCGCAGCACCGACCTGGTGCAGCGTCGCCAGGTAGATCCGCACCCCTAATGGCCGGGGACGATCCTCGCCACTGGGGGTGCGGATCGACCAGGCCAGCCGTGACCAATTTGCGCCCGCTCTGTCCCGCGGATTGTGTCACCCGCGCCCCCGACCGAAAGATATTCCTCACGGAAGTGAGGAGCTCCTCGCCCCGAAAACGGAGGGTGAGGCCGCGTCACCGACGCAATAATTGGCCAATTAAAATACACGAGGCTCCTGCGCTCGACCCGCACCTGTTAATTATGGGGCACATCGCCGCGGCCGGTCCCGTCGCCCCCGCACCCCCCCACAGGGGGGTGAATCGACTATTCCGATTACGCGGCTTCGAGGGCCGCCATGGGCGGTAAATCAATGCGACGACTACCCTCCTTAAGAGGCGCCGAGACGGGGTTCCCTTAACTGGAGCTCGAATTTCAATTTTCGAGATTTACCATTTTTCGATTTTTTTTTTTATTTCCATACTTACGATTTTAGCATTCTTTGCAGATTTACGATTTTCGGATTTTTGGATAGTTTGCGATTTTTGGACTTTTTTTTTCGAGGCTTGCGATTCTTCATTTGTTTGGAAACTTGCGATTTTCGGATTTTGGGTAAATTGCGATTCTCCGAGTTTTTACAGTCTTGCGATTTTTTAATTCTTCGGAGATTTACGATTTTTTAATTCTACGTAGTTTTACGATTTTCGGATTTTTAAGAAACTCCTATTTTTTATGTTTCCGCGATTTACGATTTTCGGGATTTTTAGGGATTCACGATTTTCGGATATCATGCCGATGTACGATTTTGAGAATTTTCGAAATTGACGAATTCGGTATTTTCGGACATCATGGAGACGTACGATTTTCAAGCGTTTTTACGAGTACCTAATTCTCGCAAATTGACGATCCTCAGGTTTAGCCTCACTTTTCATGAAGCTAGGGATGCCAACCAGATATAGAAACCCGCGGAGTGTACTTTCGTCTTAGCACTCGCTCCTCCAGAAGCAGCTGGAGAAATGTCTGTAAAATTATGATGACCATTAATCGGTGCGCGCCGAAATTGGAGCCCGCAAGAGGCAATATGGCGAGCAGGGCGCAAACGACGAGCTCCATCCCCTTACCGAAAGCAGTTACTGCAAGTGCTTCAACCCAGTGTCCCGGTTCTCCCCTACGTAAACGCGAGATGCCGAGGATTTCACAGTCGACGAGGAGAACGGATAACTTGACGATCCCCAACGGGAACCTGCGTCGGGAAAACTCCATGCAGTACATTGACCACGCGATCGAGGGGGTTGCATCGTTGAATTCCGTCTAGGAGGGTCTCCGTCAATAGGATCGAATGATGTCGGGGTTCCTCCTAATAGTTGCCACTATTGTCCTTTAACGACGGCGCAAACGCGGCCCCCTAAAAGCTAGGGCTGTAAATCACCAAGAGCGGCGCCCCCGCCCTGCGCATGCGCTCTGCCGAAATTATAGTTACACACTTTTAGGTTAGTTCTAACCCTTGGTCACGCGGAAACGTGGATTTATAGTGAATCTTAAAATGCGAGGAAAATTAATCCTCGGCATTTCTCTACATCCGGAGACACTGTATCCTGAATTTCGCTGTGCCATTCGTTTACAGTGGATTAAAAGAAATGTAAGAGAAATGAGTTTTCGCAATTTTCAATAAATCCGAGAAATGGGGAATTTCTAATGAATCTTCGAGTTAGTGGGTGGATTTAACGCGTTATAATTTAATCGGATGGATTAGGCAGTGGCATGAAATCTCATCCAAGATGGCGGCGCGTGGTTGGGGAAATTTGTTCGCGGACACCTAATTTTAATCCGATATTCTAACGCGGGTAAAAACGATACCCCGGGGTGTTGGGTTTCGGCGGATAATGGAACTAATAGGTATCGTGGAAGAGAACACTTATGGTCCTCACCGAGGAGGTGACACTCCACGATATCATAAATCATCGCGCACGAGGACACCGCCCCTTTGATAGGAGGACACGCGATCTGTCGTTTCGACCCCCAAATTATCCGAGCCCGATTCCTCCCCGCTCGAATCTCCCCTAACGAAGCGAATAATTTCCAGGTTCCCTAAAAGAGCAACAAATTAAAATGAACAAAACACACGCTATTCGTCGATAGGACGTTAAAGTGGCGTCGAAGAGGTGTCGCATATGAAACTTTTTCTCCCCGAGTCGCTTTAAACTTTACATTCATGAAATGTCAATTCTTCAACAATTTCATTATAGTATATTTCATTAAAAA